CTCTAGGGCGTCCTAATGGTTAGCCTGTTTGGCTTGTCTCCCTTAATGAGATAGGGTAGTGGTACAATTTTCTTTAGCCCATTCTTCTGGTTTCCCATGTCAATACGCTTCCCTCTCTTGTCCACCAAAAAATATATTCAGCCTCCGCCGCTTCCTATTTTTCCTGCTGGATTCGGTTAGACTCCTTTATTTTAACTACTCCTCTGCTCCCATTTCCAGATTAGGCACACTGGGGAGCAAAAGGGAGGGGGCCGTTTCCTTGTTTTTCTTCTTCTATCAACACTTCTATCTGTCGAGACTTATTACCTCGGGTACTATATTCCCCCGTATATTAAGGAGGGGGGAGTTTTATTGCTTTTAACTTACCTTTGTTTTTTCTTGGTATTTTTCCTCATAGACTTAGGTCTCCCGCTTTTTTTCCCTTGACTCCTATTCAGTTTCTTTATTCACTTCCTTTGCTATATTACCAAGGGCTAGGACCTAAGGTACCCTTCTGTCTCTGTTGGCACCCATCGGTAATGCTCCTTCAGTCTTCTCTTTCTCATGGGGGGAGATAGCGGCCCGGATATGCTAGACCTACTCTTGTTTTGGTGAAACTTTGGGGGGGTAGGGGAGGGAGTGACCGCTGTTCTGCTTCTCCTGTTATTCATTAACTCTATTCCTATACGAATTTTTCGTACGTCCTTCTCTTTCGTTCTTCTTTACATATGTACGGTTTTCGTGGTTACTTTTTCTAGGATTTCTGGCTGTGGGGTGTTGGGACTAGGAGGTTTCTCTCGCTTTGGGTAATTCATACTATTTCTCTTAGGGAATTAATTTTGGCTAGGTTGACTGCTGGTAAGGTTAAGCAAGTAGAGGAGTCCGGAGATGCTTTCCTCTACCTTTCTGCGATTCATACTTTTATTGAGTTAGAGGGTATTTGAGCTAGTCCGGTTTATTAGTCCTTGGGACTTCCACATTTTTCATTATCCCCTATTATTTATACCCAGGGATTTTCACTGTTTTATCATTCGTCTTTTGGAATCCCTGAAAATTCTTTCAAGGAGCAACTACTCCTTTAGATTCCCTCTGACCTTCCCTTAATATAACTGGGGTCTCCTTCTATTCTTCTCCATAGTACTCTTGGGAGTTTTTTTCCCACTGTTCTAGTGTTTGTTGCTCCTCCCCCAATGCCTCCTTAGGTGACTCCTGTTTTTGCCCCGTGTGTGAACTTGGTAAGGGGTCTCATCTCCGCCATATGCCCTTAGTCTCTTTGGGACAGGTTCAGATCCTAGTCGGCTCTATGCTTGTTATTATTGCTTCCTTGGTCTAATCATTAACTGCCCTCCCATTCCTTTTTCCCGTCCTTCGACAGTGTTGTTGTCAGTTCGTTCGGGATACAGGGAATTTCTATCTTATAGTTTCCTTGTTAATCCCTGAGGAGAGGTTGGTGCACCTTCCGGGTTTCCAGTTTGTAGGGGAGGCATTTTCTTTTCAACGCTTATTCCTACTCTGGGTGCTGTATGTGTCCACGTGAGTTATAAGTAATTACCCCACATTTCCCTCCTCCGTTCCTTGGGGGATCACCCAAGATACTTGGGGTTTTAGGTACCTTCTTATTCTTAGCTGTTGCAGTATTTCGGATTTACATGGAGATTCAAGCTTCACTTCTCAGAAGGGGTGGTGGGGTGCCTCAAATTTCTTTTTACTTAATCCTGGATTTGGTGTTCCACCAGATTGTTTTGGGGCGTAGATGTTATTGCTCGGTTAGTTATAGAGGGGAGTTCTGTTTATCGTTTTAGTTTTACTCCTCTGGCATTCTTGCGTATTGTTTACGGGAGTTGCATTTGGTAGTTTTTCACGTGCTCGGGTTTGTCTATAGTCGGCGCTCTCGGCTTCCCCTGTCGTTTTCTCTGGACATACCTTTGGGTCCATTTAGGTAATCAACTTCCTCTGGGAGATTGTTTCCTCCTCCCTTTAATCACTCTTTGCTGGTTTCTCCTATTTCATGTCTGTGGCTCCTCGCGTTTGGTGTTGGCCTGTTTTTCCTAGGCTTCTGAGATCCCGCCAATCCTTCGCCTCTGCTGTTATTCCTATCATCCACATTATCCATCCTTTAGGACTTCTCTTGGCTGCCAGTTAATAACTCACTTCCCTGGGCAGGGTTTTATTCGGGTGCACTACTGGTTTCCTACTTCCTGTTCTTGTGGACTCCATATTTGAGGTTCTCATGGTTGTTGTTCTAATTAAATCATTTATTTTTGGTTGTTTATCAATACGTTTGGGGACGCTGGTCCTTGTCTGCTTGTTGTTTTATCCTTATTTCTCTTCCCATGGATCCCATTATTCTGTCGTTGTAGACCTGTACTGAGGGGGGGAGCCAGGAGGCCTCCCCATCCTTAACTCTCCCTAAATTATTTTCCCCTGGGTCATATAGGGTTTATTCAATCGCTGTTGTCTTCTTATTGGATTCCTGATTCTTTCGGGCATTGGGGGTTTTTAGGTTTCTTTCTTGCCTGTATATCATTCTTGGTTCCTGTAGGTCTATTGTATGCCCCCCTGCACTGGGGGTGTCCTTTTCCGTCAGACTCCAGGATTCATTCTCCTCTGTTTTCTCCTTAAGGGTCATTTTGCACCCCACAGTGTTTTTGGTCCCCCCCCATTGGAAGGCCACGACTGTTTTTCTGGTCATTCTCTTTCCTTTCCTCTCTCCTGCTTGGCCCTTTCTCATATTTTCTTCTGCATCTCTCTCTTATAACAATGTTTCCACCAGGTATCCTTCCTTGCCCTGGGGTTTCTTACGACTACGCCTTTACATTGTTGTTTGGCCTCCTCAGTTTACTCCTGTTGGCCTGTATCCTGGGAAAATAGCCTCCTCCTAGTTTCCCAGTCGCGTTGCTTTTCCCCGGCCAGGATTTGTCAGATTACAGAAACTTTCCCCTTCGGATTTCTTCTTTGAAATATTTTTTTTACCATTGCCCCCAGTGGTTGTCTGCTTATATCTATATTCAGATCATATCATAATCGCCACCTCGCTAGTCCCCAGTTCCCTTCTACTAAAGTTGCTGGTCTGTATTCTCTCTTATTCTGTGTCCTCTGTGGCTATCTTGTATAAATATTCCTTATATTTTTCAGTACGTGTGGTTTAGTCCTTCCCCCTATCTTTAATTCTGTTGGGCTGCCCCACATCTCCTTTTTTTCTCTTCCCTCCACTGCTTTTGTTCATTTATACTACTTCTTACTGTGGGTCAGAGCTGATGATGCTTCCCCTGTTGTGTTTCATTTTCTTATTCCCCTAATAATATATATTCTTAATCATGTTTCCCCAGCGTGGTTGTCTGCGATCTTTCCGTTTCTTGTTACGCCCACTTCTCTACAGGACCTGAATTTTTAGAATTAACCCGGCTTGGTTGACTCTTATCTGTCCCCTTTGTGACTGGTGTATAGCCCTTTCATCTGTATTTGGTGTGGCAAGTCATAATATCGTAATTTATCCTTCTTACAGCCATTATCCCTGTATATTGATATTGAGGGTAAATTTTGGCAGTTTCCGTCCAGTTGCCCCCTGTTTTGTTTCTTCTCTTCTTTCAAGCTGTTTCTATCATTTTTGGGGTCCCCTGTTTCTAGTAACTATTGTAGACACATTATGCCAAATATTTCCCCTTGATTCGTTTTGTCATATATTTGATTCTCTTATACGCGTCTTTAAATCTGCTGCATGCTCTATATTTTCCCTCCTCTGCCAGTTGTGGTTGCTTACTGCGGGTCGTGGTTTCTCGCTGATTCTTCCCTGTCCTGCTTTACATTATGCGCCCTTGTCCAGGGGTTTGTAGGGGTTAACCTATTTTTCTATGCTGCAATTCTTTTACTTCTGGTTCGTTCTTCTCCCTGCCTTTGGGTGTTTCCTGATATTCTTCGACTGCTGTTGATAATATACACTAGGTCTTATCAGTAAATTTGTAAGCATCACCTGACCCTTTCCTGCCATTCTATATTTCTTTGCTTGCTGACTGCTTAGCACGGGACGATAACTTTCTGTATATCATCCTCCTGCATATTCCTTATGCCAAAGAAAATATCATATAAGCCACAATATCTTGGATCCAGCTACTTCTAGATTTATCTTTTTGCTTTGTGGGAGTTAAAATTATATTATTATAAGGCATTAAAGCATAATGAGTTCCTCTTTTATTCAGATGATCCTCACAACAACTCACCAATATTTCGGAGAATCTGGGTTAGGTAATCATGTGGAATAACACACAATATCTTTATAAATCTATTCGACTCAGCATTAAAGGAGGGAATTCGTCTATTATTTGCTATATATCCAGATAGCATTACAATTAAGACTAATATAAAAACCATATCACTGCCAAAATGATCGCTTATCTATTCACTCCCCTTCATTTTTCAGAAGAACCTCATAACTCTAGGGTTGTGTAAGAGTTCTCTATAGGACAGGCTTTTAGGTTAATAGTAGATTTTAGGCATCGTCCAGGCTTATACTCCCTTAAGCATAAAAGGGGTTATGAATACCACTTAAAATTCTACATTCGGCTGTGGTGAATAAGGAGACACCTGTTATAGCATCCTCCATACTTCTAGATACGGACAAAAATGAAGTTATTGTACTAGTTATTATACTTCAGGAAGTTAGGATAGATTCAAGATATTAACTGTCGTTATTCCTCTTCTTATATATTAGAAAACATGAAACCTCTGATTTCATATATCCATCTGGTCAGAGAGAAAGATCTGTTGCTCACATTATCCCTTAGGCGTCACCCCTACTGTGTTTCTTGGTTTTATGCTTTGGGTTTAGTGTCTAATCTTCATCCCCCGAGCATCCTTCCCCGTATCCCCTCTTCTAGTGTTGTCTCTTCTGTATGTATTAATTATGTACCCTCCTTCTTAAGCATTTCCACTTTGACCGTCATGTTGATATCCCCACTGGTTTCTGGGGTATTTATATGGTCTTACATATATCTCCCTCCGTTCTTTGAAGTAGATAATTTTCTCAAATATGTCAGCGGCATTCTTATATACACTTTATTATAGTCATCCGCTCCTAGTGGTTGGCTCCCCCCTCCTTCTAGATTAATGATTTTTTAATATCTTATGTGTATTCCTATGCTCATTTTATCCTCTTCCCTCGGTCCATGTTATTATTATTCCTAACTCTCCACGAGAATCAGTTCGTTCTATATAGTACTATTCCTTTTATAATTTCATATTCCTTTCTAGGTTATAAGAAATTTAATCTTTCATTTTACATAATTTTTATATTTTAATAGTACCGCATCGATTTCGAGTCTTGTTAAGAGGAAAATACTACAGATTAAGGCAGGTGTTCAAATCTTCCTTAATCATTTCTTCTTAATAGTACCCGGATAATTATTGAATCTATATTACAATAATATTGAGAGGGAATAATCACAGTTCACGACGTATTACTGTACTTACAGTGTTACTTTGTCTATAAGAAGTGCTTCCTATATATAAACACCCTCGGTATGTTGAAACCCCTTTTAGTGATAGTATCCCTCAGTTTCCTATACAGCATGAATAGCCTTAGGATTGGTATATGAGTATTCCTGGAATGGAATTATCCTACAAGGCAGTGTATTGGTGAAATGGTATGATTCTTACAACTGCCGTCCTCCTCAAGGAATTCGACTCTCTAACCCTTTGTATTATCTTAAACAATTTTCCTCCCTACACAGCACTGTTTTACATAGAATATTACCCTTGACAGAAGCTTATCCTCTAAACAGTTGTTGTAAGGCTAATTCTTACAGTTAATTCAAATATACCGGAGATATCTCGTATTTTCTATATATGTGTAACGCTTAGTGATTGGAACCCCTCCAAGAATACCGCTGAATCCACTCTATTATGTCTTACTAAATATCTTCTCTTAAATTATGGTGCCCCCTGCTTTAAATCTTGACGACTCCATAATAGAGACTCCCCGGATTTTCCTACTGTTTATGCAGTGATACTCTAGAGAGATCTCCCTTCTCACATACTTAATAAAGGTCGCGAAAAATGTATTCCTTATATATTAGTCCTCCAAGGAAGTGTATATCCTCCGCCTCATTCTATTCTTCAAATAATATCACTTGTTTCCCTAACATTTCCATGTAAACGTATTCCAGTCATAGAACCCGCACGATTATTTTCCTGATATCATGGTTCCCCATCGAGATGTGTTATCTTCATCCAATAATAGTCTACAAATAAAAAAAACTGTAAAATATGAACCTCGTGCAGAATAATATTCCGGAGACATGTATACAGTACACAAAATAATACTGGAGGTATAGACGCATGGTTAATATAATAGGACTGTATGCTAAGTGTACATTCCAAAGGCCCGTAGTCCTGTGAAGGGCGATATTTTTTAAATAACACTACACATAAATCATTATTCCTCAATTAGCCACGTTCTCCAATTAGTCGTATCTAAAACGCTATGTCATGAGGCCTTCACATAAAAGCATTCCTGTGACATTGTACATTACAAACAACATTTCCGCTAGAATCCTTGCATTGTCCATATGCAAGTAGTTCTGCTTCTAATGTATTACTCCGCCAATAATACATTCGACACAGCTATACCGCTGGCACTTGCGCGTAATTAATGGCTGGGGTTTTCCTTTAGAATGTAGCCCTTAATTGTTGACATAATACTATTTCATAGAGATCTATACTAATCAATGACTGATGTGGTCCAAATAATAGGAACCGAAATTTGGAAACATAGCCCGGAATTCACACACTTTTGCATTTTCGATGGGCATATTGTAGGAAAATGCTTATCTTCCAAAGGACGGTTCCTGAGAAGCTTCGTATTCCTCATACAATACTGTATTTTGAATATCATTGCACTCCACAAAATGCCACTTCTCATTTTCCCTTCTCTCTACATATCATATGAGTGCAGGGACAATAATTTCTTTCAAATGAATGTGCTACAAGCTGGGTGTTAGTTGTAAAATATTTTCCCTTCCTTACAATAACAGCATAAGCGGTAAACCTATACAATAATATTCTTGATACAGCTGTATTCTTTACCAGCATTGACACTTTAGACACATGTGTACTGTCTATATGATCTTACCGTTTATATAATAATACACCACATATATCTGTTCACTTCTTACAGTGGAGTCATTTATACATTACCATTCTTGCCAGGGACGACGGATAAGGATAACGATACGGCATGCATGTTCATACACTTTAAATCATAGTACTCCTGATACAGTATTATTCACCTCACAATGCTATTCCTAATATATCAATACCTGGTACACATCCGCACTATTCCTATAATAGTACTCTGGGAATATCAGAACTGGAAGGCAATAAGTAATTTTTACACAATACTACTTCACACGCCTGTGTACACTTCCTGCAAAGGTACCCTCCTAATAATAGGGGTTTACAAATTATACCTCCGTTAATATAATACCACTCCGAGGGGGTGGTATGAATTTGCAACTAGAGTGTTTTCCCTATAATATAAGCCTAAACGGTAAGCCATGAAGTTTCAACCTTCTCAATAATCGTCCTGTGGGGATATGTACACTCTCAGCACATTTGTGCACTCCAAGACATCACACTAGGGAGATATGAGTACACTCACAAAACTGCGCCGCAGATCATACGTACGTTTTATACAATTATGCCCCTAAATGGCAGTACTTTGCAGATATCAGTATA